CCGGTCCTATAACCGGTTACATAACCGGTTCCGGTCTTAACCGGTCTCGGTCCTAGAAAACGTTAAAATCCATAACCGGTTCATAACCGGCGGTCTACAACCGGTCCATACCGGTCCCGGGCCGGTTCTGGTCCCTCTCCGGTCCCGGTTCCGGTCCTCTGGCGGTTACGGGCCGGGTCGGGCCCATTTGGCCATCTCTACACGCAAATATGTTACTAGTAGAATTAAAAGTGAATGGGCCGGTTAGGGTTCGGGTTGATTGGTTTGGCCCATCTTTAATCTAATTTTTAGAATAATGATATAATGTTTTTCAATGAAGCAATTTAAGATGATGTAAATATTTCAATACAATTTGAACATGTTTTCCTCTTTTAACTTCAAGGGTCGGTCTATCCAATAAGCACTTAAGGGTTGTTTTTCATTAAGAGGTAACATCCGAATCGTTAAGAAATGAATCTTGCTTAACAAAAAAAAAGTCTCTTAATGGTTTTAAAACCTTCTGAATGATTTTGTATCCTGGATCTCCCCTTAACCATTAAGAGCCCTAATTTTATTGTACACAATTACCAAACAATTATATTTCATTTTTACAATATATCATGAGAGTCTCTTAATTATTCTGCACCAAACCCTTTAGTAATTGCCAAAGAGCTCCTAATAGAAAGTAATGTTTGGTAGGAGTTTTTTTTTTTATGAAAAAGTGTCTTAATGACTACAGTTATAACCTAACAAAAACAAGTTTTAATAATATTAAATAATGAATACTAAAAAATTGAAAAATTAAACTATACCAGTTTTGAATGAAGCTAAAAACCATAAAGATTCATTCAGAAGAAAAGACAGACGGTCTTAATCAACAAATGTCTGAATGAATAAGCGGCTCAAACCATTTAAAGAAAACAAACAGACTAAAGAAATTCTTTCAAATCAAGGCAGGCAGGCAGGCAGGCTTACAAATAAAATACATCTTCCTTTCTTACTCCATTCCATCCAAGAATGCTTCATACAAATTTACTGCAAGTGGAATTAGCAAATAGGAAAAAGTAAGAACGAAATGGTCGAAAAGCAAGTGACCGTAAAAGAATAGGCTGAACGCACACTTGTCTACTAATTTTCATCTCGCACACATCAACATTGAAAATTACGTTTTACATTTTCAGTGTATGATTTATCCTGATTTTGATATAAATAGGCGTTCATACATTATTCCCGTAGGCTAAATGCACTCCTACCTACTAGTTTTTTTTTTTTTTTATTAAGCTGGATATCCAACCCGCTATGCAAGCCGACTAATCCAAGGACGACCACCTGCTTTGCAGATAGCCCTGAGTCACCGCATTTGAACCTCCGTGGCCACAAGGGGATTTTTATTCCTCTTTGGATTTGAACCTGGGACCTCCTGGTACCTTTGACCTTTGGAGCCAAGCTCAAACTAATCAGACACCACCCTTGTGGTTTACCTACTAGTTTCTTTCTCACACACATCAACATCAGTACTTACTTTTTACATTTCAATGTATGATTTAACTTGATTTTGATATAAATCAGTGCTCATAAGACATTCATGTAGATTAAATGCACTCCTATATAATGCTAAGTTCATCCCTACCTGCTAGTTTCCTACTTATACACATCAATACTTACAATTTACATTCTCAATGTATGATTTGACCTGATTTTGACATAAAAATGTGCATATAGCATTCCCCTACAGCAACACCCGACCGTAGAGCCTTATACTCCCACCATCACAAAGTATTCATATTTCTACTTTAGTTTGTATCAAAATAAGTGCTCCTTTTTAAAAGTACATGACTACATTCTCAATATACCCTTTAATTATGAGATGGAGAAAGTCCCTCATGCAGTTTAATTTATTAAGGGTAATATTGTCAATTAGTTAATTAAAAAGTGTAATGATTACACGTTCCTAAATGTGTGTGCCTTTTCATTGTGGACCGTTACTTTGGGACGGGGAGAGGTTTTCTTTTTCTTTTTTGTAGGTTTAAAATCGAAAAAATGGATCTCACAAAACGGAAAAACGAAAAACGTTAAATGGTTTGAATGAACATAGCATTATGATTCTGGATTGCTTACCTCTGCATCTTCTGCTCCAGATTTGGTGATCTCCATCTTTTGGTCTTCTGCAAATGCAAAATATATATAGTAGTAAATAAATAGCATAAGAATCCACTTCCATATAAACATAAATGATGGCTCTTTTCAGGTGCGTTTGATGGTGAACAAGACTGGAGAGTCGAGAGTTTGGTAGGTGGATGAAAAAGAATTGTGGAAAGGTTTTAGGTTTTAATTTGACATGGTCGTTTAGTAATTTATCAAGCTTGTCTCAAACTCCCTGATTTTTGTTCCACCTATTTTGGTGGGCTAGTGTCAAACTGTCCAAGTCTAATGTCACGTCAAACATGGGACTAACAAGTTTTCGTATTGTTATTAGTTATGGGAAACGTAAAGAACGATGAGTCAGTCCTAAATCATTTAGACGATACCAAGACTATGTTTAGTTGTCTATTCATAGTTTTGCCACAAACGTGGTTGGTCACACATGCTAAACCAAGTGTCGAGACACGGATCCTGATCATGCGACCTGACAATATGGAAAACATGAAGGGAATGCTTGGTTTAGCTAAGTGAACAAAATACCTCCATCCTCGGGGATGTCCGAAGTCCACAAAGTGAGATTGTCCCTCAGGAGCTGCATAATTAAAGTGCTATCTTTGTAGGATTCCTCACTCAGGGAATCAAGCTCGGAAATAGCTTCATCAAAAGCTTGTTTTGCCAGATGGCAGGCCCTAATACAAACCCAAAAAAAAATGAAAGATACACAATTTAGCAAATTTTTTATGTGAAGCATATAGAGAAGATTGAAAGAAAGAGTTTTAAGCTTAATAATACCTTTCAGGAGAGTTCATAATCTCGTAATAGAACACGGAGAAGTTCAAAGCCAAACCTAACCGGATTGGGTGAGTAGGAGATAGATCAGCTTCTGCGGTGGTGGAAGCCAACTGCAAATAGCATATTTAACTGGTTAGAAAATAGAAAACCAAGCTTGGGAATAAGCTTTGTAAAGGCTAAATGTTTTGTGTGCTAGACAACAAATGAAGAGTTCACATAACTATATATATATGGGTCACAAACTACGCTTGATCCTGAGATACAACAAAAGAATGCATATATGATGATGATGATGATGATGATGATGATAAAAGTACACAGAATGGATATAACATCCCAGGCCAATCGTACCGGATATTGTTTGCTTTCCCACACCTGGACTCACAATTTTATAATGTGACTTATAGAGGAGATATCCAGTCCCTGATAATGCAACCTTAGTTCCCCTCCCCAACCGATGTGGGATCTTACAATCCACCCCCTTGGGGCCCAACGTCCTCAATGGAACACCCATGCGGTTCCCGGCTCTAATACCTTTTGTAATATTGCATACCAGACATTGTCCGCTTTGTTCAAACCTAGACTCACGGTTTTAAAACGCGCCTTAAAAAGGAGGTATCCAGTTCCTTGTACGACAACCTTAGTTTCCTTCCCCAACCGATGGGGGATCTTACAATGAAGTTACCAAAACGAATATAAATTGTAATGCCAATAAGGAGGTCTATTGACATGGATTACAGATGAATGTGTGTGTAATGATTGAGAACATTAATTACCTTCGTAACTAAAAAGGTAAGATTCTAAAACATAAATGTTACATTTTTAATGTGATGCAAAAATTTTGCAGCATTCAAGAAGGGAAAAAAGAACTATAAATGATAAATAAGTAAACTGAAATCAATTGCTTCCATATGGAAAAGGAGAAGCTACATTACAATATCTACTTACTTGATAAGCCTTCAGCGACTGATCTGCTGCCTCTTTTTTATCATTACCAAACTTGAACTCTGCAAGATACCTATAATAGTCTCCTTTCCTGTACTCGACCAAAACCCATCAAAAAAATATTAGAACCAAACCAATTTATCTTACGCTATTAGGTCCATCATCCAATTTCCCATGCAGGACACTAGTACAATCATGGAACAATATTCTAACATACAAACCCATCTTAAATCCTACACAATTGGACAAAATTCCTCTTTGTAACTTTTTATGTAATGTTTCTATATACGCAAACGCGCTCACATTTTGTAGTAGAAAACGGTAGATTCACCAGCGGAAGAGGATGGAATCAGATGCTCATCAATAACAATCATGATATCACTACAAATGTCAGACAGCTCTGTTTCAACCTTCTGCCTATATTCCTTAATCCGCTTTACATTCACTTCATTGCCTCTAGATTCCTCCTTCTGCTCAATTGAAGATAATATTCTCCATGATGCCCTACGTGAACCCACTACATTCTTGTACCCAACTGAGAGCAAGTTCCTCTCTTCAACAGTCAATTCAACATCCAACTTTGCTACCTTTTTCATAGCATCCACCATTTCTGCACAAAAACAAAATTAAAGGAAAACCAAAGTTTGAATTAAACCTTTAATCACTTCTATAAGTTATAATTTTGCACCCTTAATGTTTCTGAAGTTCTTTTTATATAAATGCCAAAAGAAAAGTTCACAAGTAATGATCCAAACAAAACAATCTTCTATAGCTACAAATTCAGTTAATGGTCGACGTGTGAAAAGTAAATCCTTGTCATTGTTCGTTGTTCGATGCCTCAAAATGCTACCCACCATATGTCATGCCCAAATGTATGAATCTGATTCTTTACAGTATGCCTTGAAAGTTTAGTTCCTCTTTACTAAATAACTAGATCTCCATTGCAAATTTACAACCCACCAATACATTTTCAAACATCAGACCTAGTGGTTTTACAAAAATGGAATAATATGAATGATTTTATGATTTAGCAGAAGAAAACTATCAGTTTCCACTGTAATACTTCACTACCTCTAGCATGTATTAAGATAGTAATTCCATATTTTTCTCTAAATTTGATAAATCCATATCAATTTTAATCTATCAAACACTAGATGTTAATTTCTCTACCTTCTCCATGTACTATTGAGCAGATCAAACGAGCATACTCAAGTCCCCCAATGTACAATATTCACTCATTAGTTTCTTAACCTAATTACAATCACCAACCAAATGTTATAACATCAAAAACTTCCGCAAGTAGTTTATATATACGCATCATGTTTTACATCTTACACAGATCTAATTTTCAACTACGATAACGAAAATAAGAAATCAACATTTTCAACAACGGATCTAGATGAAGAAAGAAGAAGAAAGGTGCTAACCATCATAACGTTCCGCTTGCTCGGCAAGCTTGGCGACATAGATGAAGTTTTCACGTTCAGTTGAAGAAGCCATGGCCGCCGATCTCTGAGCTCACCGACTACTTTCTCTCTCTACTCTCTAAGATGAGTGGAAAGCGGAGAGACTTGAGGGTGACTGGTTTTTTTTTTTTATGTGTGGGGGAAATTTAGGGGATATTCGTTTTTGCCACAAAACTTTATTTATTTTCATTTCAAACACATATCTATCATAAATTACGTTTTTTGTCCCTGTACTTTGTTAAAAATTACGGATTTATCACTGTGATTTTAAAATTTCAATTTTAGTCCCTATTATTTGTGATTCATTTCTATTTTTGTCTCTAGATCAAAGCACTACTTACATGTAAAGGCATAATAAGACAAGATGCTACAAAACTACAAACCCTAGATTGTCTTACTCGTCGACCACTTAAATAAGGCAACGTTAATGCTCTTAAGGGGCTGTTTGGCAGTTGCTGAATGGTTTAGTGCAGAATGATCAACGTGGTTAATAAAAACCTACAATTTTCATTTTCACGCCACTTGGGTTGTGGCACACCAGTAAGCCTCAGTGGGATGTAGTAGAAATCTCATTTCTCCAAGTTCGAATCCAGACGTTGTAAAAGCCATTTTCAACTATGAAGGTTCAATTGGGATGACACCAGCATTAATGGTTAACCAGGAGATTAGTCGGTCTGCATAAGCTGGATCAAGAACTCAAGATTATAAAAGAACGTAAAGTAAAAGTCTTATACTTATACATTTTGAAAGTGCCATCATAACAAAAAATTATAAAAGAACACAGTATTTTCATGCAAATGACTTCGTAATATTAAAAAAGCTAAAAAAATTAACTAAACAAGCAGATACAAGAAGAATTCAAGTACAAATTGCAGGTTACGATATTTGCTTTAAGGATATGTTTTAACGGTCCAAAATATGCTATAATAGAAATTTTCGAACTTATGGCCGTTTACCCAGTAAATGTTTATTGATAAAAGTCAACACTCTCACTTATATTACCGGGTAAAATTTTAATCCAGCCCATCAAAACAACATCGTATACAATAATTGACTTGATAAACACTAATCAGATGAGACTCTTGATCTTATCATCGATCTTAACAATAAAATTCTTGATTATATTATAATAAACGTATAAGATAAGTAACCCAGTAAACGAATACAGATGCATGTGGAGTTAGAGGGGTAGGGTCAAGGAATTGGTGGTGGCAAAGTCAACTACTTTTCAAGAAAATGTGATGATGAGAGAGAAAGAGAAACACATATGAAATTGAGGTATCATGATTTTTAAAGAGGATTTTGTTTGGAAATAAGGTGTTGTTATTAAACTATATAAATGATAATAAATGAATAACCATAAATATCATTTTGGGACCATTTTTTTATAGAGGGGGGAATGCTCCTTGGCCTCCTTCTATCAAGAGAAAAAAACCAAAAATACTAAAAACAACAGTTTAAGTATTTGGATGGAGCGAACCATATCCACCAGAAAGAAACCAAGGCTTCCAAATAGAAAGAAAGAAAGATAAAGAAACCAACCATTAGGGAAAGTTCCAGACAATACGGTTCCGGACAACATTCGGAGAAAGCTTAAGGGTCAAGACGATCGAAATGACACCAATATTGAATACTTAAAAAAAAATACAAAAATCATATTATATATTCATCGTTTTTCATTTTTTAACGAATCGATTTTTGTGTGTCCGTCCTTGACGTTGTATTTTTGTATCAAGTTTCATTGTTTCCTCTTTTTATAAATTACAAGCTTCGTTTCGAAAGAAAATAAAATGTCAAAGTAATTTTTGAATTTCATTGTTAAGTAATTTTTGTTTTCGAAAATATGACCTGAACTTTAAAATGACAGATTAAATGTGGGGTTTTTATAAAATATTTTAAACAGATGAGAGCAGATTACGTAGCAAAAGTAAAAAGTCTTTTAATGACTTATGCATTGGAGATGCTCTAAGAGTCGTAGCAAGGACTGCGAATTTATCAGGCAAGCGAGAGAGAAGACTCTTACCCGATTAGCGTGTACAGGGTAAAAGACGTTTACCAATTATCCATTTTAATAATCAAGAATGTTACTCGATAAGGTAAGTGAATTTTTTTTTTATAAATATTTTCCAAAATTTTGGCAGTGATTCTCTGTTATTATCAAATTATTAAATAAGTTGGTACATATTTTGTTTTTTATTGATTTTTTTTAAAAAGAGAATGTGGTAACTTTTACCAGTAAACACATAAGCGTTTGACAAACGACCCCTTAGTTATCTCAGTTTACCAAACACTAACTGACTAGCGCTTACAATGTCACTTACCTTATTGGATGAGTTTGACAAGGACTAAAAATTTTATCCGATAAAAAAGATGACAATAGTTGGCAATTTTACCCGGTGAATGAAAATTTCTAATTGGATTGCTTATAAAAATAACTTATTGACTTATTCCGGTGTGGCACCGGTAATAAACACTTTTGAGTATTTGGATAAACAACTTATATCGGTGCCAAACTAGTAACAATAAGTTTTTGAAGAAGTTAAACTATTCTGACTTGTAATAAGTTGATAAATGTTTTTGTAAAAAAAAAACATATGTTGTTTCAAATAAGGAATCCCAAACACCCCTTAAATGTAAATTCATGAAGATATTACCAACAATCCCATCTTTTAACTTTTGCAAGTTTATTGATGCATATTTTAGATTGAACAAAAAATATACTATTAAATTGCTATGACCCACAACAAGAAATGATAATATTAAAAGATTTGAAATCAGTCTTTCACTACAGATCAGATCTTCTGCTTTTATCTAAAACTTTCACTGTCTGTTAAAAGAATAACTGAACTACTACATTAATTAGGCGGATCTAACTCTTTTGAGAAACGCCCAAAAGCGTCTGTCTACTAGTTCAGTTGAGAACAAGGTGTCGAACTAGACTGATAACTGTTCGTCACTCTGTTATAAATCTATCAAGTTATTTTATAAACTTCATCATGTTATCCGGTAAGAGTTTTCTTACTCACTTATCATGTAAGATTCTATGTCCTTTCTATGTCTCTTACCGTGTAAGATTCTCGATCACTGTCATACTTACTCAGTAAAATAAGTGACAACCAATAAGCACGATCCGTAAACGGTCTCTTGATAAGACAAAATTAAGAACATCTAATAAGCCAAACTCAATGTTCACATAAAATAAAAAAGAAGTCTTAAAAAACGTTGTGTTATTAGGAAAAAAAAAAACAATTTGTATTTTCTTATTAGCGAAGGAAAAGGATTTGAGATCACATGAGAATAGACTATTTTCGTGAGACCACATAAACAACACTCTACTTTCACAACAAAACAATGTAAAGATAAACCTTTACAGTAAAACACAGTGAAGATTAAACTTTTTTTTAATTAACCTGAATATCCAACCCGCTATGCGAGCCGATTAATCCCAAGATGATCACCTGCTTTGCAGATAGTCCGGAGTCACCGCATTTGAACCTCCGTGGCCACAAGGGGATTTTTATTTCTCATTGGATTTGAACCTGAGACCTCCAGGTAAAACTTTAACAACGTTTTTGTTGGGAAAGTTTTATTGTGAAGTTTCAGTATTATTTTGTGGTCTCACGAAAACCAATCCCAAAGAGAATGTCAAGTTCCATTTCATACCAAATCATAATTAATTTAGCGTGTAAGGTAAGGCGGGGGTTGAAAGCAACTATTAATTATATGGTACAAAAGCCGATCACTAAAATTGTCGAGTGAATAGCTTAAAAGGGTGACAAGGCATCAAAGTGGGAAATTATCGTGTCTAGTGTGCAATAATTTAGGGCCTTTTGGCTGCTAAAATGAAACTGTTTAATGCAAATTCATTTAAAATGTTTCAGGGCAAGTGTTTACCGAGTCACTTTACCTTATCCGATGAACATGACAAGGATTAATAATCTTAGATTCTTACCCCTTAAGAGCGATTACAAGGACTGAGTCATTTACCAAACGCTTATCGGGAAAACATTGCCAGTTTCTATCCTCACTTATCTTATCGAGTGATATTCTTGGCCATCAAAATGGATTATTGGTGTTTATCGGGTAAAAATCTTTTTCCTCACTTACCCGGTAAGATTTTTAGTCCTTCCTATAATCTAACCGGGTAAAATTTTCGATATTTGTCATTTACACTCGATAAGATAAATGATACCCAAAAAGCACTGACCGAGTAAGTAGTCGGTAAACAACGTTTACACAAATCTTACCTGGTAATCACTTACTGGTAAGAGTCAACTTTCACTTAACTTACTGGGTAAAATTTTAGTCCATCAATACGATTTTCTTCTGGTAAATGTTTATCGGGTAAGAGTTGTCGGTTGTCACTCTCATTTACCATGTAAGAGTCCACACTTTCACTCACCAGATAAGACTTTTAAGGGTTTACCAAATCTTATCCGGTAAACGCTTACTTAGTAAGGGAAAAAACTTTCACTCAACTTATCAAATAAGATTTTAGTCCATTAATACAATATTTTTCCTAGTAATGCTTACCGGGTAAGAGTCATCCCTCTCACTGACGGGGTAAGACTCAGTGAAAAAAATTTCATTTAGTAAGCGACTATTTAAAATATGAAATAGGGATGGGCAAGCATGCATGCATGCATGAATTAATAGGAAAAAAACAAACGAAACCAGTAAATTTCATGCAAAATAGGGTCTAGTCTAGGGGATAGAAAGACGGAGGAAAAAAGAGGAACATAACCCAACAAAAAAAAACCAAAAGAAAGACAACATATTGTAGAAGAAACTCAAGAATGAGCCCTAAAATTAGTAATCTAACAAGTCCCAAAGATCACTTGCTTGTGGTTATCTGCTTGCAAAACCTATTGTTGCCCTTTGTGTCTCTTCAATAACTTGTAGATCCCAAATATGTTTTTCTCCTCCCAAACATATGGTATGAAGAACGATCGGTGTAAAGGGGGCGAAAGCTCCCTATCTAGATATGGCAATGCTGCAACCACCTACACGACCAACGCTTGTCATATATTTTCACCCGTGTGTTAAAGAACTGGAGAATTGATTTTTTGCTTCAAACAAATTCTCCAAAATGGAGAAAGTGGGAGACAGTGTGCGAAGTTCTCTAAATTGGGAGAAATCCCAAAAATGAATACCATGAGAGAGAACATTTTTAGAGTAAATTATGGTTTTCGTCCCTATAGTTTGTTAATAATTTCGATTTTTGTCCTTGTGGTTTAGGAATTGTGATTTTCGTCTCTACGGTTTGCAATTTATTGTTATTTTCGTCCTTGGACTAATTCCTACCTTTATGTACAAGGGACTAAAAAAGTAAAGAATTGTAAGCCATAGGGACCAAAACAACAATAAATTGTAAATTATAAGAACAAAAATAACGATGAATTACAAACCATAGGAACGAAAACTGCAATTTCTAAACCATAAGGTTAAAAATCGCAATTTTTAACCAACCACAAGGACGAAAATGAAATTTACTTATTATATATTCCCACCAATAAGAAAGCTTGAAATTAAATGTTCAGAAATAAGAAATTATATTTTACTAAATGTATGAAATATTTAATAAATATAATTAATGTTGTAATTTCCAAAAAGAAGAAAGTTGTTCGCGTGGAATGTAAGAGCATCTTCAACAGGTTATCTATAATCTATACTATATAATAAAATATCTGACAGAAACTCTTAAAAACCATTTTTTTTCATGAAGTACTATTTATTGATACATATTACTTAAAATTCAAGATTACAAATAATTGTGTGTAAATACAACTTATTAAAGCTCCATATTTGAATTCGTGAAACTAACTACAGTTAAACATAATCAAATAAAGAATAAACATCTCATTTTAAATATAAGAAATCTAAAATATAATTTTAAAAATCATTGAGTTCTAACAGAATACTTAATTATTATTTTTATAAAAAATTATATTATTAAACCAAAAACAAATTACTTCATTATTAAACTTAAATTAAATTATAATAAAAAATTGAATTAAAGAAATTACACCATAAAACAAAAACTTTTAAATAGTTAATTTGATAATTTTTTCGAATTTTTTTCATTTACATTTATTCTTATTGGTGGGACTGAATAAAATAGTCATTTCTTTTCTAGAATTCTCCAAACTTGGAGTTTTTTCATGTTTTTTCTATTTTAGAGAACATCATAGAGAATCTATTAGAGCAATATAGAGAACAAAACCTTCATTTCTCTAATTTAGAGAATCTGTTGGAGATGCACTAATCTCTTTTGGAAATTTTGAATTTTAACACTCCATTTTGAAGAATCTGTTGCAGATACTCTTATACGTTACGTATATAAAGATCTCTCTCTCACACACTTTTAACAACCCAAGGGGCTTAATAGAATCAATCGCTCTATTCCTCCGGCCCCACTTCTGGGTGGGATATACTACGCTCGTTTGGTTTATACCAAGAAAGAAAGAGATAGTACCTCCCATTTTAACAAGTCGCTTCCTCGAGAAAGAAAAGGTCTTTGAAGCTGCAGCTCCACGAGAAAATCGCAGCTTTCGACATCTTGGAGCTGTGAATAGTTTCAGATAATACGAATACGAATATGAATTTGGTTTACATATAAAAACAAGAAATTTGGGGAAAAGAGGCTTACAAATTGGTCAGGTGATGCCTTGTTCTTATTGTTAAAATATGGTGGTGCTGCAGATGTTCCACCCAAGGTTGAATTGAATGGGAAAGGAAGTAAG